AAACCGGAGAGAAGCCACGGCGGTGGAGGGCTGCCGGGAGCTCTTCGCACTCAATGTCGAGCTCCTTGAATCCGTCGCCGAGGATCTCCGCTCGGCTGACGACGATCATGAGTCAATGACCGAAGAGCAGGTCGACGGGATAAGGTCTCGGCTCAGCGCCATTGTCACCAACCATCAGACATGCTATGACGGCCTAGTGGTGGCGAAGAGCGGAATTCTGCGGTCGCGGCGGGACGGAACTCAGGCGGCGCTCTCGGCTCCGGAGATATTCAATGTACGGAGGCTGTACAGCGTGTCTTCAGGATCGCCGAGGATCTCCGCTCGGCTGACGACGATCATGAGTCAATGACCGAAGAGCAGGTCGACGGGATAAGGTCTCGGCTCAGTGCCATTGTCACCAACCATCAGACATGCTATGACGGCCTAGTGGTGGCGAAGAGCGGAATTCTGCGGTCGCGGCTTGACGGAACGGAGGCGGCGCTGTCGGCTCCGGAGATATTCAATGTACGGAGGCTGTACAGCGTGTCTTCAGGATTGGTGACTCAAGCGCTGATCTCTACGAATTCGACACACCACAGACACCATCATCACCATCATCATCACCATCAACACCATCATAACCACCGCAAGAGAGATAATGTCAAAGGCGGCGGACTTCCTCCGGCCACCCCGCCAAGCCAGAATGTTAAAGGCGGCTCCGGCAACAGACTTCCTCCCGCTGCGGTCGCCCCCGTAAACCTCCACCGGCAGCCATTGGAGCAGTTCATCAAGGTACGTACCACTGTGTTAAAGTTTTCTTCATATCCTATGTATATGCGTGTTTGCAGTTTATAAAAACAATACTTTACTTTGTCCACAGTATAATATTTTCGTTAATTTTAATTTTAACGAAATTCTTATTCTTTCAAATTCTTATTCTTACTATGTATAGTAATTTTTTCCTCACAAATTCTTATTCTGAAAATTTTAGACTTACAGACGCATTGTTTTAATTTATTTATTTTAATGCTAGTCACATAATTTCCCGTCAACATATTCCAGTGAAAAATAGATGTACTTTCTCTCATCTTGTGCCCTTTTATTTATTGATTTATTACTCTTGTGATCGTAAATAAATCCAACTCTAGTGACATGCAAAGCTCACTAAAACTACGTGAATATAATAATTGTCTAATTTGTGTTCAGTTAATTGCATGTTTAATGCTTTTACACACACACACACACAATATATATATATATCTAGACGGAGTACTTGTGTCTTTAGATAAAAAAAAAGTTTTTAGTAACTATTATTTTCTTTAATTTACAGGCTTTAAAGTCGACCAATTGCAATTCATCATCATCAAAATCATGTCCAAGGGAAGGACAGATTCAGTTAGGAATGGAAGGGAGTGGAATTCTGATACGCGACATTGTGATCGTCAGCAAAGATGGCACCGGAAATTTTACAACCATAAGAGACGCCGTCGCAAATTTACCTAATAATACGAGGCCAGAAGATGGGTATTTTGTGATATATGTCAAACAAGGCATATACGAAGAAATTATTGACATCTCACGTTATAAGAAGAATATAATGTTGCTCGGAGATGGCATCAATAGAACTGTCATTACTGGAAACCTCAATGCCGGTGATGGGCAATTGCATACTTTCTATACTGCAACATTTGGTAAGTATACATATATATATATATATATATATATATGTATATGTATGTATGTATATATAAACACACGTACATTATATTGAATTTCTTTTTAACTTCAATATCTAGAGAAGATCTTAGACCAAAATTAATATAATTGATAACGTCTTTCATATAGTAGTAGTAACTCCTTTTAAAGTTTTGAGTACTATTGATTTTTTCACATGGCAACTTAAGGGCAACACAATCACTCTAATTTATTAATCAGAAAACCTTGGTATTTAATATATTTTTTTTCTTTTCTTTTCTTACCTAGTAAAAAGTAAGAGACATATATAACAAATTTCTTTTATCATTATCTATATCATTATTCTTCACTGTTTAGTTATTACACTTGAAGTTTGAGCCAATTAACTTGATTTTTGATCTTACGTGTACCGTATTTACTTTAATTTCAATTAATTTAAATAATTTTCGAAAAAAATAATGCTAGAAGTCCCTTATATATATATATATATATCCAGTAGTTTTAGTATCAATTCAAATGAATTTTAAAGATATTATCTAACAATAAATTAATTAAAACTCTCATGCCAATTCTTTGTTAATATTCCCTGAGTCTAAAACTAATCACCAAAGTTGAATATAGATTGCTGCTTAACTATATTCCGCTTTAAAATCATGGAATTAATTAGTTTTGTTCCCTAATTCTTTGTTGTTTGTTTGTTTGTTTTTTTCAATCTCCTGTACATTCATGATTAAACCCAATTTCTTCTTCTGTTGCAGCGGTTTCTGGAGACCGATTCATCGCAATTGACATCACATTTCGAAATACCGCTGGTCCAACGAAGGGCCAAGCCGTCGCTGTCCGGAACCAAGCCGACCTCTCAGCATTCTACCGGTGCAGCCTTGAGGGTTACCAAGACACTCTCTACGCTCACTCCCGCCGACAATTCTACCGCGAATGCGACATCTACGGCAACGTCGACTTCATCTTCGGCGACGCCGCTGCCGTCTTCCAGAACTGCAACATTTTCGTCCGAAATACGAGGAACCACAAAACGAATTACATCACTGCGCAGGGCCGGGAAGACCCTGACAGTAACACCGGCATCTCGATCCACAACTGCACCGTCGACGTAGCGCCGGACAGCGCTACCAGTCGTCGAACCCGAACCTACTTGGGACGGCCATGGCAGTTGTATTCTAGGACTGTTTACATGCAGTCTTACATTGGGAGCTTGGTAGCCCCGGCTGGATGGTCCAAGTGGAACAATGGTAACACAGGATTGGATACTCTTTACTATGGAGAGTTTGAGAATTATGGTCCTGGTGCTAATACCAGGAGGAGAGTTCGGTGGCCTGGTTTTTCTTTGATGAGTGATTCGGAGGCTTTGAATTTCACCGTCTCTAATTTTACTACCGGATGGTCTTGGTTGCCAGACACGGATATACCTTTCTCTGCAGGATTGATTGAGACTACTTAGATGTGATTTATTAGTGATCATGTCGATCTCTTTTTTTTTTCCTAAGTATTATTTTTTTTTTGTAGGTATTATTTGTTAGTTTATCAATTTTGATAAAACTAACATAGTATCATAGCAGGAGGTTCTAAGTTCAAATCCTCGTAATTACACTCTTTATCCCCATTAAATTATCATAATGTGTTAGATCTTTAATATATCGCGGGTTTAAATATTCACGTGTTGGACTTTTCAATTAATTTACCCACATGATTGTCCATTGTTCAGCCTCACACGTGAATGGGAGTGTTAAAGTATAAAATTATTGTTAACCCACCTCTTAAAAGCTTAAATTTTTGAGATGGATTGGTAAACTAACATTATTTAGGTATTCTAAAGTGATTGATAGATACTTAGATGTGATTTAATGCATTATTTATGGCTCGTGCAGAGAGGAATTCAACACAAACGAATCCTGGAAAGAAGAACAAATAGAATAATTGACATAAATATTTTTGCTGAGATTAACCATTCAGAATAACAGAAGGAAAGTACATGATCAAGTATTGGGCCAAGCTTGATTATAGAGTTAAACGGCAATGCTTTAATCATCTTTCCATTACAAAATGTGACGCTTAAAAAAATATAGTAAAAGTTGAGTTCTTACGAAGAATGTGAATATCAATAGAGGATAGAAATGTGGCTCTATGAGAAAGAAGACGTAGTCATGTTTGGAGTTGGTTTTATTTTTGTTTTTTACATTTTTTGAGAAAGAAAAAATAAAAACGGGAGAGAAACGACGTTTGACACAATTAAAAACAAAAAACGGGAATGAAAACGATTTTTTGATTTAGTGTAAAATGGGAGAGAAATGAAAAATAACTTTTAGTCGTTTTATATTTTTTATTTTCGTTTTTTCCTCTCTCGAGCACAAAGAGAGAGAGAGAGATTAATTGATTTTTTTATACTGAAAATAATATCTTGATAAAACTACCAAATGCATTTTTAAAAATGATTTATGTTTGAGATTAAAAACATTTTCATTTCCATTTTCATACAAAAAACAAAATCATTTTGGAACGAGTTCCAAACACACCTAATATTTTTCCCCTTATAGAGCATTCCAGGTGAACAAACAATGCCATTCAAGATATTCATCACATGAAGGCAGCAGACATTACCTTAAAAGATGATAAAATTATGCATTTATGAACTTAACAATTTGCCACTTGTAATTAACTAATCTCCGAACCTACTTTAAAAAGAATTTAGGCGGATTTAAAAAAAAAAAAATCCTGGAGAAAAACAGGTCAATCCACAGCTTCAATCAAAGGAAACCAAATATACGAATAAGCCACATAAAGAAAAAGAATATTGCAACACAATGCATGTACCTCAAAATTGTTGTCTCCAGAAAACTTTTGGCAATTTGCGACCGCAAAGTTGGCATGAAATTTTGTGTTAAAACTGCTTATGGATGAACGATCAATGCAACCACAGAAAAAGATTCCCATGCACGAAAGCTGATTACCAGTAATCTTTACAAGAGCAGTTCCCATCAACAAAGTGATGAAAACGATTGGCATCTCTAACAATAAGTTCCCTCCTAACTATCTTTGATATGTGTTTGGTCACGTTGTGACAATCAACGCAGACTCGGAGGTTTTTGGTGATCCTGATTGGGCTCCCAGCCGGTGTGCTTAAAAGCCCAAATGCCATAGCTAATCTCTCACTATGGCCCCATAACAGCTTAATCTTCATTGGTTCATCGACATCTCGAAGAACACAACTTGTACAAGGCACATAGCCAGAAGCCTCCACTTCTAATCTTAGATTCTCTAAATACTGATATATCTCGGCCCAGTTTGGATGCGAATCATCTCCAGCGAAAAATGTATAAACCTGATTTTCTACCTCAATGGAGCTATATCCAGGCGTTTTCTTTAGTCCCTGTGTCCTCATGAGACTTCGAACATGATTTACTGCATCCCATCTCCTAGCTTGAGCATAGATATTTGATAAGACAACATAAATCCCAGGATTCATAGAATCTAAACAAAGTAACCTATCTGCTGTCTTTATACCCAACTCAATATTCTTGTGAGTTCGACACCCACTCAGCAAAGCTTCGAGAATGGAACTTCCGGGTTCAAAAGGTATTTCTTTTATCAATGCCTCAGCTTCTTGAAAACGGCCAGCTCGACTTAGAAGATCCACGATGCTAGCGTAATGTTTTTCTGTGGGTTTAATTTTGTGGTCTTTTGTCATGCTATGGAACAATCCGATCCCATCTTCCACGAGTCCTGAGTGACTACAAGCGGTTAAAAGAGAAAGAAATGAGGTTTCATTTGGCTCAGTCCCTTCCTCCACCATTCTTTTGTAGATACCAACAGCTTGCTTTCCAAGACCATGTATGCCATAGGCTGTTATCATAGAGTTCCATATAATAACATCTTGACAAACAGATCCTTTGTTAAAAATCAACTCAGCAGAGTTGATTTTTCCACACTTGGCATACATGTCAATCAATGATGTCCGGTTAACCACATCAAACGCATATCCGCGACGAATTAAGTGTGCATGAACACTTCTTCCTTTCCTCAGACAGCCCAAATGGGCACAAGAATGGACTAAACTAACAAGAGTTACAGAATTTCCCACAACCCCTTCTACTTGCATTTGACAGAATTTTTTCAAGGCTTCTTCTGCATGCCCATTTTGTGCCAACCCGACAAGCATAGCAGTCCATGTTATTACATTCCTCTTTTCCATTTTTTCAAAAACAAAAGTTGCCTGCTTTAAGGTACCACATTTAGAATAGAGATCAACTAATGCAGTAGATAAAATGGGATTCAGCTCAAAGCCCCTTCTGAAAACGCAACCATGAAGGATCTTTCCATTATGCAAATCAGCAATCCGAGAACAACCTTGAATAAGGCTGACCATGGTTCGTGAGTCAAACCCTCCACCACTTCTCAATAGTCTATTGAAAAGGGCAAAAGATTCAAGCACAAAGCCATTCTGAACATATCCCGAAATCATGGCATTCCAGGAAACTAAATTTCTCGTAGGCATGGTCTCGAAAAGCCACTGAGCACTCACAATTTCACCCATATTACTATACATATTAACCAATGACGTAAGCACCAAAATATCATTTCTCATTCCCAATCCAATTGTACAACTATGAACACACTTTCCAAGTTCTAGATTGCCACTTTTAATGCAAGCTTGAATCAAGCTAACCATGGTTATGGGACTTGGGATAATACCAGAATTGCACATCCTGAAAAACATATCAAATGCCTCCCTAATCTGACTAGCTTGCACATAACCGCCAATTATCGAATTCCAGCACACAACATCTCTTTCTGTCATCCTATCAAACAAACTTCTCGCATTATCCACTTTATCAAATTTTACCAAAAAACTAATTATTGCACTCCCCAAAATCTTCTCCCTTTCCATTTCTTTATCAACAGCAACTTTAACTACTTTCATACCCATTTCATAATCTGACAAGCCGATACATGCCTTAAGTGCCAAATGACATGTATAACTATCAATTTTTAGATTAGAAGATCCCATCATTCTAAACAATCTGAGGGTCTCATTGTACCGCTCATTTCTCAAATACCCATTGATCATGGTATTGCACAGAATGGTTCTTGGTTGAGAAAATTGTGCAAACACATTATGTGCATTAACTAAACTGCCCAAATCACTGTATGCAGTAACAAGTTTTGTAGCCAAAAATTGGTCCTCATATAAACTGTTAGTGATAATCTGGGCATGGACAGACTTGACACAGACAAGCGTTTTCGAATATCTCTGTAAGAGAAATACGAATTCACGGACAAAAGGCGGTGGCAGGTTGAATCGGGTAGCCGAGACCAAAGATTTTGAAAAGGAATACAAGGAAGAAAGTTTGAAGGGTATTTTGAGGACAAAGTTATGGACATGAAGGAACAAGGAAGACATCAAATTAAGAATGAGCAACTAGTATAAAATCATAAGCTACGTTTTCAGCAAAAGAGTCAAATGGTAAGCTATTCTTACGACGAATTTTCTGTCTTTCTTGGCTCAGTTACATCCAGGATTCTTCCACAGAGAGAACAAGAGGGCAATTTGTTTGCTGAATTGACCTGAAAAAAAAAAAGAACAAAGGCACGAAATCAGAGAATCTTTAGAGGAAGGAAAAACAGAGAGCGAGAGAGAACACACACAGTTCCATGCTTCTCTACTAGACAAACAACACTATCAATTCTCTATTAAAAAGAGGAAAAAAAAAAGAAAAAAAACTAAACACTTAAAACAAACTAGTTTTACAACAAAACGACATAATTAAACATCAAACAAATTCCACAATCACAGTAATATCAAGAAATTCGATAATCAAACAAATTTTGCAGCATTAATTTTCATCAACAAACTAATCACACAAGCTAATTATTTACGACTAAACCAAACTAATCTCACAAGTATCAATTTTCAAAAACCAACTAATCACACAAACTAATTTCAACAAAACCAAACTAATCTCACAACATTTGGAACAAACAAATTTCACAATAAAACCAGGAAAAGGAAAAACTAACAGAAAATTTCACCATTGTCGCTCAAAGGAGATATGCTCAGGGATGGGAGGTCGGGTCGAATAGCGTCGGTAGCTGGCGGCTGGGGGGTATGCGCTCCGGCGTTGGGCGGAGAAGTTGGGTGAGCGCCGGTGGGAGGGAGGGGGAGGAGAGTTACGTGCGACATAAGTTGCTTTGGTGAAGCGGACAAAACATAAAAGGGTTGTTTGATACACAGTAATAAGTAGAAATCATATTTCTAAAAAAATGATGGAAGGTAATATAATTTTCAAAAATAATATATTATTGTATTTAGTTTCATATATAAATTTTTCTTAAATTTTCAGAAATATTTCATTATCATATTTGGTTGTGCAGGAGAATATTATGAATTAAAAAACATATTTTTTTAAATGAATTACAATTAACACTAATGTTTAAAAAGTATAAAATATTTTTTAAATATTTAGCCCATAACATTAGCACTAATATTTTAAAAAGTATAAAAAACAACACAACAAGTAGTCCATAAAATTATCAAATAATAGGAGTCTCAATATGTTAGCTAAAATCTTTTATACTAAAAAATTCTTACGAAAGTTCTAAACATGAGAACATATTCTTGAATAAGATTCCAAACCTGTAATTAAAAGTTATAAATCTAGGACCACATATAAAAGTTCTAAATATGTTATAAAAAAGATCTAAATATTGGACTATATACTCAAGTTTGTAAATATATCATCAAAAGCTTCAACCTAACTCATTCCAAAAAAGATAGAAGAACTCACTCCATCTATCTCTATACAAGCGTCTCTTACTAATAATTACAAATATCATAAGAATGAATAAAAATGTCATTTCATTTAAGATCTCCATATATTGAACCAAAATAGCCACAATTCCTTTTTTTTTTTTTTTTTTTTCAATAGAAGAAGATCCATATATGCTCATTGATGAGAAAAAAAGAAAGAAGCATATTGATTACAAAGTTCAATTCATCCAAGAAGAAGAGAAACTGCTAAATATACAATATATTTCGGAAGTAGAAGTAGGCTATTTGAAACTAACAAATTATCATACGCATTGAAACCAAATTCATGTATATGTGTACCAAGGGGTGTCTCCCCTCGGAAAAAAAAAACATGGGTTGCTGCTATAAATTGCTGCCTGGTGCATCTGTTTCCACACATTAATTTTCTGCCTGCTGATTTTTATGTATCAATTAATTCATTTTAACACATGGCCTTTGAAACAAATTTGAGCCTCAAATGAGAAGCCCCTGCTCTAATGCTATTATGCGGCTGGTAGTCAGTAAGGATAAAAAAAAAAAAAAAAACAGGCTGATACGGATTCAACAAGAAGAAAAGAAAAATAACATCACAGATTGGAAGGCTGTATGAAATTGTAGTCCAGATCAAAAAGAATAACACAAATGGTGAAAGAAAAAATTTTCACAAAAAAAGGAATCATACTCTGGTGGTGGCGGCAACGGAAAGTCCGGCAACGGTGTGGTGGATCGGAAG